ACCTTCGGACTTTTTTTCAACGATAGTCTCTCTTCCAAGCTCATAGTCCTTCACCTGGTGTTGACATTCTCTCAACAAATCATCAATAGCCCTCTCTTCTTCAGCCTCCCTCTGTTGCAAACTCTGACCTCTCTTTTCCATTGTTCTGCATCCTTTCCTCTGTTCTTTTGTGGCGACTTCTCATTCTTTGCTTCTGCCCTTATTATCTTATCTTCGGTTGTCCTTTCACCAGTCTTCCCGGTCTCTAGCTATCTGCCTTTCCTTTTCGCTCCCATCGGGTCTTACCCTTCTTTCCTTTCTCACCCTTATTTCTCTGCGCTGGGTCTGATTATGGGATAGCCTTTCCCTTGTTCTTTCCTTCATTGTCGCCTTTGCGCCCCAGCCCACGGGGCTTTAATCCTAGTGATTTGTTTCGAAAATCTTCACGAGCATGCTTTGCCGCTTCGTAATTCTCACCAATTTCCTTCCGTCATCGCCACCTGATCGGCCCCCACTAACTCCAATTGTCTAAATACAGTGTGGTAACCACCCTTCAGGGTGGCCTCAAGCGAGTTAATACGTTATATTAAGACGTCTAAAGTCCCTACGATCTTGCGCCGTAGAAGGAAGTCGCTCACCTGCGCAATTGTATTCAATTCCTGCCATAATATTAGCGAAGCCAGCGGCTTAAGATGTTAATGGATATATATGGCGAAGATGGGAGCTGCTCCCTTAAATTGTTGTATAACTCACCACGGGCGCTCATCAAATGCTCCCTCATATTCTCCAGGGCCTGCATCGTCAGTGCTCCGGGGTAGCGAGCACGCCTAATCTCCTCGAATAAAGTCCTTCTTTCTCTAATTCTTCATCCTCAAAGTTGTTCTCAAAACTAGTGTCCTCCTCTTCTAAATTGTTGGACCTCTTTCGTTTCTTATCATTTTTACTCTTTAGCTTTCTGGCTCTCTTCATCAGCCTCTTTCGGCGGCTCACATTGGGGTCCAAGCGTGTGCCGTTAAAAATTGCACGAGCCGTCTTCTAGCCCCTCTCTAGCACCTCCTTACCTTCTAAAGCCTCAAATTTCTCCTTCCAATCCTTCTTTCCTTTCCTTTCATTCTTTTTCTTCTTTTTCTTTTCTTTCGCTTCTGTCTTTTCTTTCTCAACTTTATCCTCCATTCCAATTCCTTCTCTGGGAGGCTCAACCGAGAGGTTCATTTGCCATTCCTTTGGAGCCACGAAACAATCCCAAAACCCGCGAGCATAGACCAGCCGGAATCCGGTCTCAAGTTACGGACAATCCTCGCCACATAGATACACCGTGATTGTTCGGTCCTCTCCTCCTCCAAAAAGCCTCCATAATGCGTTCCGACTGTGTCCCTATCAGCACGAAGTCCATTCGCCCCTCTGTGGGGTGCAAGGCTCGTACACGACCCGCTATCTTCACGTGGGCATTGTAATAAGTTAATCGATCGAGCACAATCACATCCAGCTTTCCCAAACTATCCAGCGTCAACTCTAACCAACTATACAACTTCTCCACAAGTCCGGGGATGTCAGGTTCTGCGGCTGCCCTGCGTCTAGGTCGCACTCGAAGAGGTGCTACAACTGGTCTTCTAAGTTTAGGAGCCATTACTCCCTTTACCAATAATATCTCGCCCTTGGTATTTTCTATCTTTCAATTCCCATTTTATCCTTTTTATGACACCCTTATTGGTGCCTTAGGTCCAACGTAGATGCTTTGGCACTAATATTCGTCCTAGTCACCTTAGGAAAAGTCATGATGCTATCAAACCTGATGGTTTTCCTTTCGATCCACGCATTGACATGCACCCAGGACATCTTGCATACAAGCATTGCCACACGACCTTCACTATGGAATTGGCCCTTGGACCCATTTCCAGAAGGCCTCTCCTGTTTTGCTTTGCACTTGGGCGCGCAACCAACGATTATGATGCACCCGCACCGTTCTCGCTCCAGGACATTGGCGATAATCTGCATATCAATGCAGCCTCTCAGCCGTTCGTGAGCCTTGGATTGTGCCCCAGATAGCCCGGGATTTGTCGTTTGAGCCTGAAGCTAGATTAAGCTGCTTCCATCGATCCATCCGATGATTATCTCATCATCCGGATCTTCCGCATTCGTGCCTGATGCAGCATTCTATCTTCAATTTCCTTGCTTACTTGCATGAGCTCCCACATGCCTAGGTGGCACTCAATGGAAGAGCATCCGGTAGAGGTGCCACCCAAGTTCATGCCGGACACTTTGGTTGCACAACTGGCTGCCTTAAATCAAGCACTTCATGACATTAAGCACGCATTGGCCCAAGACTAGACATTGTGGTGTGCTCACTCCAATCATGATAGAAGAGGAGATGTTGTCAGACAATCAGAGCTTTACAGATCTCTTGGAAGCCTGTGGTCAAAATCTGGGCAAGAGGCCACGAGTGAGCGCATCCACTGGAGTCGCCAAGCATGGCCGGAAACAAGCACCTCGATCCTCTATCCTGGGCCTCAACGTCGAGTGGAGGCAGAGACGACGAGTTGTTAAGAATGTTGGCTCGATTGTCCCTTCGGCAGGAGGATGTATTAGCCCAACTCAGCCTAGACAAGAGCTTCATATTCTTCATGCAGTGCGGTCTTGGCAGCATCATGCCGAGCATGCTTGCCATGGCCAGGGATTGGAACAGCCGCAAGCAAAATGGAGACGTCTCAATGTCCCTGAGGATCACGATATTCCTTCATTGTTTTCAAGAGCTGACTCAACGGGCCAACAAGCTGCAACTAGAGGCAAAAGACGACGCCTTAGTGATGAATCTTCGATCCAAGAGTATTCTCACCGAGGACAATAAGTGGGCCTATCTCACCTAAGATGCACAAACCCAGATATTGAAGGCCAGCAAGACTCCGCCATTGGCCTCAGAAGAACTTCGAGTGCTCTTGGAACGCATTGTTCATCTTAGACAACAACAGTCGGTGGTTCACAAATTCTCAGCTCTTCGTCCTATGAGCCAGGAGAATCTACCACAAAATACGACAATGGCAATACCATAGAGATTGGATTTGAGTTTTCGAACTCCCGAGGCATCCGAATTTCATCAATACCTGCTAAAATTGTCCGACAATAGAATCCCACAATTAACACTCCTAAGAGTCAGATTGACGAACTTATAACGTTCAACCCTTGCCAATGCCATCTCCCAACGCTTAAGGAGGTGACGATTTCGATCATAGTAGCAAGCTAGCCAATGATGGAACGACGTGTTACGTCAACAATGTGCTTATTGCCCAGGTTTAGAGTTGCGCCATAAATTTGACCTTTAATACTGCAATTTAGGATCCATTGGAGTCACGACTATTTAGCATGCTTATAAGCCGTGCAGGGGAGATTATTGTATAAATCCATATGATTGCTATTTAGTTAGCCTCCTAGCCGACTGCTTTAAGGCTCGTCCATTTTCAAATCAACATGATGCCGATGAATTTTGCGGGTAAAAATTGCTCGAAAGGACCTTGCCGCATTATACGCAAGCCAAATCGAATGTTCGACTCATACATTCCATTGAAGCCAAAGCCAATGTGTTTGTACCTATCCCTTTAGTTTATGCTGCAGAGGATTCCTCAATTAGCATCAATAAGAATCATTTGTTCATCCATTTATATACGATTCCCCCTAAATCTACCTTCAAATTTCCCGTTTCACCATCCCTAACATCAAAAACCACTACTCAATTAAATAGGATCGACGTATTCCCTTATAATTACCAATATTCTACGCCGACCAAAATTTCCAAATAAAATAACATTAATTCATAATGCAAATATCATCCATAAAAATAAAATTCCGATTAACAGGCATTATCAATATATTTTGTGCAACAACAAAACAACTTTAAAATATAATAATTATCGATCGACCATACCACTTGGCTATAATCCTCAACTAACCAAAACAAATTACCTTTTGTAATTTATACCCTACCACCTAATCAACATAATTTAATGCCGTTCCTCACGCCTACCTTCGAAAACCCTAAATAAATTACTTAGAGATCGATTCGTATAATTTTATTTTTACCACCCCTTTTAATACATTAGAATTTCAATACACCTAATGTGTCCGAAAAAAACCCTTCTATTACGATTATACATAAATAATAAAATAAATATTTCTTTTTATCAATAATATTAATAAATAATTTAATATTTTATATTTATATTTATTTATGTATTTTAATATTTCCTTTATCGATATAATAAATATAATATTAATTTATGATATTTAAATTAATAGTAATATTATATTAATAATGATATTGAAGGTAATAATAATATAAATATAAAATGTATAATTAAATTCGCTATTAAATAGAAATATTAAATCAAAAAAAGATCGTGAAAAATCGGAGAAGTAATGATGGACAATTAAAGGTTTGGAATGAATGCATCCAAGGTATGGATATCTTTATTGCGAACAATTTACCATATTCATATCATGTATGGTGCGAACCAGACCCGTTGCAAGGTAGGCTTTGCAGTTGTAGATTCGTTAGGAAGTTGTTGTACGTGCGGTGCCTCGATGCCGAGACGTCGAAATGTTGGAAATGTTTCTCTCAGCATTTGGCATAACTAGCATGTTTGAAATCGCTACTAGTAACAAGTGCCACGCTAGTAGTAACAGGTGCCTTACTAGTAGTAACAAGAAGCTATTAGAATTAAACTAAATTAACTTAATAGCTTCTTGTTACCACTAGTAAGGCACTTGTTACTACTAGCGATGCACTTGTTACTACTACTACTACTACTACTACTACTACTACTACTACTAATGCATTTTAAAAGGGTTCCGCCAGCGACAAACAACCCATTAATTTTTGACCTCACCACCAACACCCAACCTAGCAATCGGTCTGTGGTGTGAGGACCCCTTGCAGCATTCAACTCTTTGGAAACGAGGCCGCAAGCATTGCATTCGGGACTCATACCGACTCAAACCACCTTTGTAAATGCTTGCTTTGTTTTTGGAATCTTGCTATGGTGAAACACACTGCTAGGAGACGAACGCTGAGGCGCTCTCTCACTTGTCCTGGTTCTTCGGATTCTCTGGGGATCTTTCCCACATCTTGAAGCAGCGTTCCTGAGCAAATCTGAAGTATGCTGACCACAGCCTTGAACACCCTCAAGCCAGCCTTTGCTTGGGACATCTTCAGTCCAGGGTTTTCCTTCGCAACAATTGCCAGAATCAAATCTTCCGCCTTTTCCCAGTGACAAGTTTTCCAAATGGAAAGACATGGTTTCAGAATGCCTGTCTGATGCCCTCCAGCTCTCTTGCTTCGTATTCCTCAAATTGCGACCAAAGCGGACACATCCTAGTGTATACTAGTACTGCCGATGTTAACTTCGAACCAAATTGATGATACTCCCTATTCAGCACTTGCCTCTTCCTGAGGCGCACACTGCATATGTCCTGAGATTGTCAACCAGGTTGGGAATATTGGATTTCTATTTCTCTCTTGGGTACAAGTAGCTTCTTGTTACTAGTAGAGACGGCCTCCAACCTAATAGCGATGGCCTCCACCTAGTAGTTTCTTGCTACTAGTAGTAATGCCCGTAGCTTCTTGCTGTGAAGGACACCTCGACACTTTATGCCAAAATTCATTTTGGGTTTCTTCTCAACGCCAGCATCTAAAGCGCTTAATGCCGCATCAATGCCGCTGGCCTGAGATGGTGTGAAATGTTCGCGAACATTGCTCAAATGAATGCATCGCAAGGATTACAAAATGAATTTGCAACATCCAAGAACTGGGCATCCACCACATCCTGGCATTCTTGAAGAAGGTCAGACTGCTCTCCCCCATTCTTTAAGTATGTCAGAAACGGCCTCCTGACGGTTGGTGTTGGCCTCCAATTTTGGTTGCGACACAACCTCGACAGGAAATTGTCAAGGCATTGACCGTGTATTGTTCGCGGCCTGGCATTGGAGGCTTCTTGTGCCACAAAAAACACCGATTCCCTCCAAGCCCTGTCCTCCGTCTTTTTGACTTGCTTCTTTGGATTTGCCTTGGCCATTGCACCCATCAGTGCCTGAAAACCAATGAAAAAACATTCATTGCAGCAACGGCATCTCTGGGCACAAGTAAAGTGGGCCTGTCTTCTTGCAATCTCTGCTTGGGTTACCTCGCAACTGATTTGAGTATTTTTTTGTTCACATCCAGCTGCTCATCACTAAACCAGAAAGCGTCCTGTCCGTGTCCAATTTATGCGGTAATGCAACAAAAATAGATTTGGTGCAAATGACAGTCTTCATGAGACCTGATGACACGCATGGGATTTTAGAAAGTCTCTAATAGCTTGAAAACCTGGAGGACGCATTCTGCGACAACATTGAGGGGTTGTCCTGTCCGGAACCAAAAACTCGTCTTTTCGCATTCCAGTCGCGAGTCCATCATCTTAATGGCAATGTTGGGATCACGCGACAAATCCACTAAAGCCCCGCACTTGCAGGAGTCACAATATTTACTGCAATTGGTATCTAACACTGTTGGGTTGCGTTCACTGCCATGTAGTTTTAGCTAGGGGGCATGTTCGTTTGGGAACAAAAATGCATATCCTGCAACATGAGGTGTGTCTGGGAGAGGAGTGGGAGCGGGAGAAAACACGGAAAAACACATGGTGTTCACATATCTTCTATGTCTGACTATATTTATCATAACCGTATCATCTGCTTCAAAGGGCGAACAGTCGACCCCTCTCAGCATTCTACGTTTCTTAAACTTTTTGTGAGTGCATCATATGCATCAGCTGGTTGCAACTCGGCAGCTTCTTATTCAAGATGCACGCAAGTTAAGTTTAGACACCCTGCAAGTTGTACCGCTTCAACAATTTCGCAAGGGTCGCAAGATATACCCAACAATGCTTCCAGATTGTAAGAAAAACATAACTAAGCAACTTGTAAGAGGGTCCGAAAACAGAGTGATTATAGAGACTTTACTTTGCTCATCCACTTCATGCTGCGTTCATCTCTAAGTCTTGCCTTGATCATGCATATTGTCAAGTTTATTGTACATAATCACATTTTGACTTTGCAAATTGCAAGTGAGACATAGCTAAATCATGCCAAATCTATCAAAGTTCCACAAATAGAGCGATTATAGAGACTTCTCTTACCCTCTCTCTGAGAGCCACTGCTGCAGGCGGTTCTCGTCGCGAAGCGACCCGAATATATGCATCTCTAAATGCTCTCGAGCTTTGAGATTATACTGACAAATTACACAAATGCAGGTTTCAGTATGGATACTGTACACAAAACAATGTCGAGGCCGTTCCTCTCGAGATCACTGAATCCTAATATATATATATATATATGTACTGTAGCAAATACATCCGAAAGAGTTTGGGTATGACAACACCAATCGCTGACCTTTCGTTTTACCGTCGTCGGCACCTTGACTTTCATCATCTCATGATGTGCGTTTCGGTGTATTTAAAGTACGGAGTGACACCATAGACATAGAATTCTTTGTAGCGCAACCTTGGTCTGGGGTCCTTGCCTCAAATCTGATCGCTTCTGTACAGCAATTCACAAACGTTGGAGGTTATTTTAGTTATATATATAGTTGGTTGAAAGCTGGACTTGTGTTGACAAGTTCAATGAGGTCTTCACACCAAAAGAGTGTACTTCATGGCAAACAGATTACGTACATAGATATATATATATATATATATATGACTGAGTGCACTGGTCCTCGCACTGTTTTCCATCTGCCAGCCTT